AGAGGAGTCCCGGAACTTGGCGCGGCAAATAGCCATTTTTAATGGCTACGAAACCGTAGCTCGAGATAGGTGTAGAGAAAGCCACAGGTACCCCAACGATAACTCTAGCGACAACAAGGTCCCGTTTATACTGCCCTTCATTTCAAAAAATGTAAGTGCAGCTATAAAACGCTGTTTAAGAAGGGAAAGTCTAGAGAATTTGGTAACGATAATCGAAATGCCACCGAGTACTCTAAGACGCCAGCCAGTTCGTAACCGCCTTTACGACCGACTATGTGCAACGAAAAATTGCACAATTTACTCCAATGATAGAGACGGTGACTGCATGAGTTCGGGTACAGTCTATCTGATCTCTTGTAAAGCGTGCGGGACGAATACGTTGGCGAAACGGGTAGACCACTCTGCGTACGTATAAAAGAACACCTAGTCGGCAAACGTAAGCCAAGTACTCCACTAGGCACGCATAGGACGCAGAGACATAACGCAGAAGATTTTGAAGTAAGCGTTACGATCCTCGCGCGAGAATCGAGAACACAAGCGCGCAAAACTCTAGAGGCATTCTGGATTAATTCCAGGAATCCGAAAATGAACCGCAAGGAGGAATGCCGCATTATTACGCATGATATTGGACAGTATATAAGACTGTTATTCTGATGGGAGAGGCACATTACGCTTCCATGTGAATTCTGTGCGGTCGGTCTTCACGCGACATACTCAGTGGAAGACTCATAGAAAGCGGTGAGTGTGCAGAGCTATGTTAAATGTGATTGAAATCTTGGCTTAGCGTTTTCTCTGTTTGGTTATAAAGGTGTTTGGACGAATAGGTTGCTGTCAACTTGAGCTTTCCAGGTTCTGAGGAAGGCGAAATCCGCCGAAACGTTAGCTTGTACGTAAATAAGGAAATAAAATAGCACCTCGTGTTTGCTGAACAGAAGTAGAAAAAATTAACGATAAAAGCTAGAAAAATTTAAGAGCTTGATATTTTAACTGTAACTCTCGAGAAACACACCGTGAAGACGAATGTCCGGAAGTGATATCGGATTTGATGCGAGCCTTTACCGATTCTGGAATCTGAAGCATTGACACCGGTGTGCCGAAGACCATTGGATCATAAACAAGTGGTGGAAGCGCTGCAAGTTGTGCTTTCATGCAGAATTAAAATAATAACCACCTTAATAAAAAAACTTTTCCTCGGCTTTCTCCATATGAGAGAATGCTGAAGAACAGCTGCTAACAACCAGAACTCCGCGTACGTATAAAAGAACACCTAGTCGGCAAACGTAAGCCAAGTACTCCACTAAGTACGCATAGCACGCAGAAACATGACGGAGAGGATTTTGAAGTAAGGGTTACGATCCTCGCGCAAGAAACGAGAACACAAGAGCGCAAAACTCTAGAGGCATTCTGGATTAATTCCAAGAATCCGAAAATGAACCGCAGGGAGGAATGCCTCGTTATCACGAGTGATACTGGACAGTGTATAAGACTGTTATTCTGATGGGAAAGGCACATTACGCTTCCATGTGAATTCTGTGCGGTTGGTCTTCACGCGACATACTCAGTGGAAGACTCATAGGAAGCGGTGAGTGTGCAGAGCTATGATAAATGTGATTGAAATTTTGGTTTAGCGTTTTCTCTGTTTGGTTATGGAGGTGTTTGGCCGAGTGGATTGGTGTCAACTTGACCCAGGCTCTGAGGAAGACGAAATCCGCCGAAACGTCAGCTTGTGTGTAAATAAAGGGATAAAACAGCACCTCGGGTTTGCTGAACAGAAGTAGAAAAATATATTAAAAAAAACTCACTTCCTGATATCATTCCGTTCATGAAATTAAATGGGAACCCGTTTAGATTAAGAGTTGTCAGTTGTGACAATACTGAAGCGGCTTTGTTTGCTCTAAAAATTGAGATTTCACTAGAATTTACTTGTTATCCAAAAGGATCCGAACATTCCCCTTAACATTAACAAGCATCCTCCTACTAATCAAAATTTTCTTTCATTTTACAAAATCCAACATTGTATACTGTGCGAATTCTATCAGTTCTGCCATTCGATTCCCTTCGGTGCTTTCATTACCTGCGAAGATTTCCAGATTTTGTACGTGAGGCTGACAGCGATGCGTAACAATTTTTGGTCTCGCGAATGTTGCTGATTTCATGTGGAGACGATTCTCTATGGAATCCTGTTATAGCATAGAATACAAGGCCGGTTAGACATCTTCGTCACAAGCATTCGTCAGCGGTTGTTAATTGGAGAGACCGAGACGATCCCAAACAAGCCTGGTACCGATTTCCCGGCGCCGAAAGCATGTGGGTTTGGCTGGCCCGGTATAGAGCTAAACCAGAGATTTTCGTGTATTGAATGGCATAGTTGGCATTGCATTATCCCACTTCTTAACGAGAAATACAAATTATACTCAGAAATTACTTAGGAAATGCTAGTCATAGTCTGACGGTTGGTAAACTTGTCATAAAACTGCGTGGCACCAGACCTGTCTGGGAAAAGTTCACTCTCTGCAATACAACTGCGGACGCTTTAGCACAGTTATCTGAGGACGGCAGGTAAAAATGACTGGACCAGCATTCAGTGGAATCTAGGACAAAAGGAAAATCCACAACTAGCAAATATATCTGCACAAAAAAAGTCAGAAGAGATCCATGGTTGATGGATGTGAGGAAACAAATCGTTTGCAAAAAGCGCTGAAATCCGCAGAGTAGAAAGATGAGGCTGTAAAAGTGAAACAAAAAAGAAGTTACTCTGACATACAACCAACTATTGAGGGTGATTGAAATCTTGGTTTAGCGTCTTCTCTGATTAGTTATGGAGGTGTTTGGCCGAATAGAATGTTGTCAACTTGACCTTTCCAGACTCTGAGAAAGGCGAAATCAGTCGAAACGTCAGCTTGCTCGTGAATAAAGAATAAAATAACACCTCGCGTTTGCTCAACAAGAATACGAAGAATTCCTGAGGGAACAATTCCCAAACCCATTCGAAAATATGAAGGTTTAACTTTTTTGGTTATGATATCGCTATGCTTCCACTACAGACTCACCTAGTAGATGCACGTCTCTCGCCGTTTTCGGTGGGGATCGCAGTCGCGGTAGACGGCGCCGAATCAGAGTGAGCCGTTTCGGACAGCAACTGGCCTTTGAGGCAGGTAAGGTGTTGTAGCGAAAACAAATGTTCCTGCAACGTCACACGACCACTGTACTCCACTCCACACAGCGAGCAGGATGTTATCGTTGAACGATTCACCTCCTCATCACCTAAATATATAAAAAGTAAATGCTGCTGTATTTTTAATAGACAAAATAGTGCTAATCATAGAGTAAACTGTCAACTTTACCAGAACTGTTGCTAGACCTCGTCTTTCGTTCTTTTGCCCTAGCATTCTGGAACCATACTTGCACGACACGCTTGTGTAGCCCAATTTCTCGTCCTAATGCCTCACACTCGGTCATTGACGGTGTCTTGTAATCACCAAAAACGCTTTTCATCACCTAAAATGATATATAATCATAAGAAAAAAAGAACGGTAAAGAAATGAAAACGAAAAGGAGACTAAACGAGGATGATTTGATTTTCCATTAGTCGACCTATCAGTGGACGTTCAATGTTATTGTAGGAAAGAGCAATTCCAAGTGAACAAACCATGGTCGTGAAAATGAAAAACATTATGAGCACAAAATCCGAGGTTTCTACTGACAAAATTGATCTCTCAATATCCACATACGCTCACTGAGTACATGATCTCGTCAGGTTTCAATCGATTTCCTGGAGGCGACATCGAATCCGCTCACATATATTTTTCAGCCATTCGATTCCAGACTTTCGGGTTATTCGGCTATAACAACTGGCCTACTTCACGTGTACTAACGAAAACATGGTTACGGTGTGTATAAGCCGAATCATATCTGCATCCCGACTTTCTCCACGTAAGCATTCGGCCTCATCACTTGGAGCATGTGCGAAGCACAACTGAAGGAGTTTGTGAGTAGACACAAGACAAAGCTTGAGAAATATTCACTTTAATTTAATTTCGTTGACGATCGCGAGTGTAGATCAATTTTTATTGCTACTGGATCTCAGGAGTTGGGCTCTCATATCAGTGCAAGCAGTTCTTTTTCGACAAAAATTAGGATACCGATCGTATTAGAGCTTCTTCATTTTCATGAATGTAAACATATTTCAAATAGGTGTCTAAAACCCAATGGCTAACCTCCAGCTGGTGTACAGTCAGAGAAGGAACTGCAATCGTGCCCTGGTTTAGCACATTCAAATCCAATGAAAGAAACCATGTGATCACCATCTTTCGAGAATCAACGGTTATTGTTAGTACTGGTCAAATGACGATGATTGGTTCAGCCGGTGAATAAGTGAACAAGGATGATTAAAATACAGATTCCTCAAGGTGGTATCGATCAAAGCTCAAATATGAGCTTTAGAACAGGACGGTGAAACACCGGAGTATACTCATTTACCTGTGCCGTATAATAGCAGAATTTGAACGGAGAAGTAAAAGAAAGATTTTAGGATTTTGCTAACAGAGCACCAATCTATAAAGCAGAAATAGTGACTAGTTCAATCAAAGTCTTCGAGTTTCTCTATCTTACTTCAAGTTGACAGCAATTATATCTGTCATAAAAGTGCCTACTACGTTCTGTGAACCTCATGTTATGACTTGCTATTGCTCATTTCAACGCGAATCTCAGCTACTTTTCCAAAATCTCAAAGATGGCTAGAAAATATTATTTGTAGCGACGTAAATTTACGGTAACACACATGAACTTGTGTCGGAGTGAGATGGGTACGGTAGCGTTTATTACTGGTCGGTGATCGAGATTGTGAAGAACCGCCCACATATGAAGTGGTGCTCTCCTCAACGAATTCCGTCGGATCGTCATCCGAATGACCGAGAAAAGGTGACATTGACAACGTATCACGCCTAAATCATATTAGTTGCTCTAAATTGCGTGGATACTGTATTCAAATGTCTAGAACAAACCATTGCTATTTGGGGTTCAATTAAAATAACCATAGAAAAATTAGTCACTACGAAAGAGGCACAGTAAGGGTGGCTCGCAGAGGTCGTTTTATTAAAAAATTTTTCTACAATCTTCAGAAGGCAGTAAAAATTATTTCTTAGTGATATCGAGTCTCCAACAAAATAAACTTGCATTCATGACAATGCAGGTCAAGCGTATGATTAAGAGAGGAAAGGACGATTTTCATAACTAATGTCAACGCTCATAACGATTTACCGCCTCATCGTGGCTTGGAGGTGTTCTTGGGTGTCGGACTGCGATGTACAGTGGGAGATTCATCCACTGGCAGGGTTTGCCAAGCTGAGAAGGAGCCCGGCGATTCCATCAAGAAGCCCAACTAAGAGTAAACCACTACCACGAGCCACCAGCGTCCTGTGTGGAAGTCGCATGTTGGCAAATCTCCCTCTGATCAACAAGGGTTGCGACTACATTCCAGGGGAACCACAATGGCTTAACCAGCAAATCTCCGAGAAATGGAGATTGTGCTGGAGCCCACACAACCAGTGAGGACGGGCCATTCAACTATCAAGTAAGTAATTCCAATAGCATCAGTCGCTAACGAAAGTATGTTCTATTCTCAATTTTACTAAGGCAGTAGAATCTGTTATGGCTTCATCATCTCGAAAAAATCCTACTGCTCAATTCGCTATTCCTTAAGGAGTGGAGAGGTTGACCGATACTTATGTCGGAGACTAACTAGACCTTGTTCGTGTATGCACTTTTCATCAACCCATTATGCATTCTTCTTCAATAATCAGAAGACTTTTCCTTTCGTGTTTCAAAACAACTGATTCATTTCAAGACTTTTTGTCAACGAATAAAAAAGTTTGTCAGTGTCGAATCCTTTAAAAAAGACTATAATAACATACTCTTGCGATGTATTGCTCAAATCAAGTACACCGGCTACACTTTCTTTACTATCAGTGTTGACAGAAGGGATAAGCATTGGAACCTGAATGAACAACCATTTAAACATAGGTTAAACATAAACAACAACGTTCTGAATACTACTCTCTAAAGTGCTCGTTTTTCAGCAAATTTCAAATGCCTCTCTTCAAGTTCTTTGTCTGATTCGCTTACATCTTCGGCATTTGGCAGCAATTCGATGTCGACCGGAGTAGCCGAATGTTGTTGGGGATGTCGGGCCGGAATGTGTTCCTGTAGCGAGGACTTGCTACGGAACAGAAGTCCACAAAACGGACATCGTTTGTAGAACGTCGACGATGGTGAACTACTGTTAGCTGTCTCACACTGGAACCAAACATCTCGATTTTAAAATGACATTATATAAACTGAAGTGCATAATTATGCTGTTGTTTTATGTATGTGCCCTTCAAGTGTACAATACTTACTCGTCGAATCGCGAAATTTTAAAAAAATTGCCATATTTCTATCGTAAAGAGCTAGAACCCAAGTGTCTCCATGCCCCATCATCAATACCAAACATGAGGCGGGAAGAATTATACGCATTGAGTAAAATGCATGCCGCGAAGGGCCAAAAATTAAGCGATGTCCTATGTAGCTTCTGCAAAATATAAGTGTAGTTGCGAATATCTCACAATATCAAGAACGATGTGATCTCTACCATCTGCAGCACAAAGATTACTACAAAGGCGGAAAAAAATTGAAGTACGACACTCCGGCCTTTGGAGCAACCCAGCGCACTGTCATCCACCTAAGCACCATTTCCTTAAGCAACTCGAAAACGGCCCGCCCGTTAGGGAAGGTCTTGAACAATAGTCATGGACTCAACAAATACTAAAATTTTACCACGATGACTGGAGATGAATAAACTTTTGCAGATACCAATAATGCCTTTAATTTCTACTAATAAATCCTATCATAAACGCAGCTATCCTCCCTATTTAAAGTTCAAGTACTCAACACGGAAATTTTAGACGCACAGATACAAATGACGATAGACGCATTCTGCTCAGTGCAGCAAGTAGTTGTTTTGCTCTTGCGAACTGTCCTTGATGAACTGACACAAAGTCTTAGTTCACAATGGCTAAACTCGCGCTGACTTCAGCTTCAGAAGCGTTTTTCATTTGTCCACTTCTTAACAGAGTGAGTTCAGCTCTCTCATTAGGCCCAACTGATTGGAATTGATTCACTAACAGCCGTTTTTATACCTGTGTTTCTATGTTTTCTTTTCGACAAAAATGTGATCTATGCTTACCAGCTTCAGTATGGCTTCCGTGCTTGACTTGCTAGCACCTAGAAGTTTAGTGAAGTCGGCGGGTTTAGTGTCGTTAATGCTTGCCAACGCTGTCTGCTGAAGCAGTTGTGCTTTCTCTTCGTCCGTCAACGATTCTTCGACGATCTGAAACTCACAGTTGTTTCGGAACAGCAAGAAAAGAAAAATTGGCAATCAAAACACCTTATTATCATTTGCTTGGGCCAAACAATCATCTTTGTAGCACTTTTTCTGCTGATGTTGAATAAGCTCATAGTATCGTTGAAAGACCAGATTACATCTGAAATGAATAAAAGCTCTAAAAACAGTAAAGCTTGAAGGGTTACAAAAAGAAGGAGAGATAAGTTCCTTATGTTGAGGACACAATGGGTATTTTATGAACACGCATCCTACTGAAAATTGTAGTCAGCATTAGAGATTTCAAGAAAATTGTTCAATGTGCTTCAAAAAGCAGCTGAAGCCTTGCATAAAATCATTTTAAAAGGCGAAATCCGTTAAAAAAAAAGAAAACCCTGACCGTTTGCATTGAAAATTACAACCAGGAGTTCGTACGAATCGATCGGCGTTCTCGTGATTTGGTTGGTTCTCGTAGATCTTGCGTGCCTGCAGAGGTTCACAAATTAAGACAACTTCATTCTTGAAATAGTTTATTCGCGAGTAAGACATATTTCATATTTTTACACTGCAATGGCTTACCATAAGTTATGTCTTGGTACTTTCCCTTTATTCATTTCACATTACTCCATGTTTTTCTTCTAGTACTTATGTATTAAATAAAGAGGATAAGCCTCTAGGCGTTGATCAATCTCTGAGGGATGCGCCATGCATTCGACTTCATCAAGTATCGTTTAGAGGTGATTGAATGCATGTCTGACCATTACAATGAATCATGGTGGTCTACCAATGTATCGAGCCAGTGCTGCTATCCTTCCAAACAAGTCTGGCACCAATTTGCCAACCTCGGAGAGATGGAAGGCTTGGTGGGCTAATGGCGCCGGAATCGATCCCATGAGTATTGCTGGGCGCCTCGGACCACTGCGCCACACGTGCACTTATGTATTAGAAAGCATTAATACCATTCTTACAAATGAAATAAAAAATAGGTAGAAAATAAAACAAGAAAAAGTAAAGATATTCGCTCATATCATATGAAGGGAGCAGTACTTCCAATGTTAGATTACTAGAAATTAAAAAGTAAACAACGAGATAATGAATAGATTAGGAGGCGATGGGACTAGTAAAATTTATAAGACTGCTTGGGCTTACATCAGAACACAGAAAATATTAAAAGTTTCCCAGCTGTATTAGCGGAAATTATCTCTATTTCATAGCTTTTGGGTTTTTCATTGGCTTAACTGTTAGTACCTTTTGCCGAGCGTTCTGGAACCATACCACTATTACTCTCGGACTTAGCTGTAGTTTTTTACTCAGCACCTCCAGATCATCGTCTTTAGGATAAGCCTAAAACCAATCTATAAGCCTACGACAATGAAATATGAACAAAAGCAACCTAAAAAACGAAAACCACACTGAAGAGTACAGACATTCAAATATTAGAATACCTGTTTATCAAAAAACTGCTGTAAAGTCCTAAGTTGGTAGTCAGTGAATCGAGTCCGATTCGCTCTACGACCTGACGTGCTCGACTGAGAGTGTTGACTTATAGAACCTGCAATCATTTTATATTTCTATACATATTCCTATGCAGTTCTAAATATTACAAGAACTTATTTCTATTACAGAGTTCTTAATGGAGGATGTGCTTTACAAATGGAACGTTGTAGGAAACCTAAGCAAAAAATCTGTGGTATTTTTTGTTCTTTTAAAAATCCCTCTATTCATTTAAGAATCCCTCCAACCTTGGTTTGTTCTGAGATTCCTAGATTAGATCAAATAAGTTATTTATCATCTGTACCATAACTATATTTTATTCAGTTTAAGACAAAAAGTAATTCTTCATGTAACATTCGATTCAATAATTGAATGTGAAAGCCTGCAGTATGCAGTATAGTTAAGTTGCTCAAAAAGGGCTTCTATCAGTTCCACTGCAGTGATTACCATTTATTTTAACATAGCAATTAAATATTTAGTTCTAGTTAAGGAATAAAAGTGATAAGTACTGGAAATAATTCCCGATGGATCCATAAACTGAAAGGGATTCGCCTGATGCATTTGTTGCATCATAGCTTGAAGATTCAATGATGGTACTGGCGGAGCTTCGGTTGGCTTCGGAGATGGATCTCGTTTCACCTGAAGTCGATTAATTAGAAAACGGACCAAAATAGCCGAACCAAGTAGATCTGTGAGGTGGTGAGCTCGACAAACGTAGCTATAATTGGATCTTTTTTCATTGAATGAAAATGAGGTACTAGATTTTCAATGTTCATATGATTTCGAAAAAGTCAGACTCTTCCTCACTCTTACTCTATCTGCAATTTTTTTATCTACTGCAAACATATATGGGAAGCACGAAGGGCAATGTCTAGAGGTACACTGCAATACACACATGGTCGTGGGTTTGATTCCGAGTCCCTAGCTAATAAAGCCCTTCATTACCTGAGTGTCAGCAAGTTAGTGCTAAACTGTTTGGTAGGACAAAAACACAGGCTTATTACAACAGTAGGTCACTGCAAGTTATTTTATGGAATATATAAGCGCTCATTCAACTCTAGGTTTCTGAGAAGCTTAATGCATAACGCATCCCTAAAGGAATGATAAACGCTGTTCGACTCCATAGGTTTCATCCTTTTACCATTAAATTTGCTCTGAGAGTACTACCTAAGACATATGTTATAATCCTGACATTTACTCCACTTAATAGCACATGTTACTGAAAGGTTTCTTTGCTTTCGTCACGAACCTCAGAAACTGCGAGCGGTACTACCTTGGTCTCACCGGTCTTCTCGTAAGTATCTAAGTCAATACCCATCTGCGGTGGTACGCTGAAGTTGTACGGCGAATCTTTGTCACGTTGACGTTCCTTAACGAAAAAAAAGCTGCCAAAATGTATGTATAGACAAATTTTCCTTGACAGGAATGGAATGTGAAAGACGATAAACAAACTAAGAGAAGGGGTTTCAAAAACAAAACAATGTGGTAGAATTCTGTACACTGTAAAGGTTTCGAAGATGCTTATTTCTCTTTATATATGTTTGAACTTAATTAGGTATAGACCTAGCACGCATGTGCCTTGCAACACACACGCACACACAAACAAACAAAAACACACAGCTGTTGGCGCGATCCTGCACCTCAGACGAACAAAGCTCTCCAACTCTCCAAAGTCGACAAATTGTGTTCCTAGTTTACCTAGGAGAAGAAGGACCTTTGAATCCAGGTAATTTTTTGGAAGATATTGAAAACCTGATACATTCGATATGCCATGTAATTCGTCGTTTAGTCAAATATACGTTCATTCACCACTACAACGCTTAAGCGGTTAAGATGCAAAGCTGTAGGGAAGAGTTTTTCAATCAGGGCTAGTTAAAGGGGCAACTCATAGAGTTTAAACTCGAGCACCTCTCAGCAGGGACAATTGACTGTCCCTTAGAACGGTGTCTATGTCGTAAATTCCCCACGACAGATCCGGAATGCTTCAGCTTACCGACATTTAGGCATTGTTTTCTTTCCCAGGCGATAATTTGTCACACGCGTAACGCGTGAACAAAACATTTTCATCTCTCGGGTTAGCGCTTGTGCCAAGCAAAAGTTCATCGCATTTTCTCATCGTCGGATACGGTAGTGGGTGTGCGTGCATGATTTTTCAGTTTCTTCAGTTACCTTCAAGTTAATATTGCCTACAATACTGTCTTATTACTTGGACCTGCAGACTCTATCACTAATTTTGATTTACGAACCAGCTGAACGAATTTTTGTTGAATATTTCGAGACAGTGCGGGACTAATTCCGATAATCTCAAGCACTGAAGATAGAACACCGCATATTTCCAAACGGTAGAAACTAAGCATTAATCCACGTTAGCGACCATTGCGGAAGGAGAAAGTAAGTCTCGAAATCGCTAGGACTAAAATCAAAACCAAATTTCGGTTGTGTCACCAATGCCCTATCAGTAAGTTCTTTGAGAAGAACCGTCAAAACCACTTGAAATAGTGAATTCGAGGTGCAATCGAGTTTTTCATGAGCGTATTTAAAAAAGAAATTGATGCAACAAACCTTAAACAGCGTATTTCTAAACCAGTGCTTAATCACTTTTTCCGGTAGACCAGCTTTTAATGACATTTCTTTTACTTGAGCTTCAGACGGACTGTTATTGATGTCGAAATACTGTCTAAAAGAAGAACTGCTTTAGTAAGCTGAATCAGTTGAAGGCATTGCAGGTACCACTTTTTTAGATGCGTTTTCTGCAACATTGCAGTCATACTTTTAAAATCGTTATCTGGGTATTGATTTAAGAATGTGACACTGTGGCCATATTTCTAAACTCTTATGTAGATGTTCGTCTGAGACAGTTAAAAACATAATCGCATTACTATTTATCACAAGCTACCAACGCTTCGGAAACCTTTAAATATGTGCAGTGAGAACGAAGGTGGATAGCAGGTGAAGAACTTATCGAGCTAACAATCGCAGCTTTTCTATCGTAAGTGGTGCTGGAGAGGTAGGAGAAGATGGTAAGCGTAAAGGATAACGTCTAGAGAGTAGCTTGATGTTTGAAAGGTCTTTCTATCCAGAGCTGGTCAATGTATGCTAAGTTACAATATCTATAAAACATGTAGTTGGTCGTAATGCTAAAGGGAAAAAAAATTGTTAACGTCCTAAACTTTACTAGCATTAACCAAGTTCTCAATTTGAATAGACTATGGCATTCGTTCCAAGAGCTCCATAATACAGCTTTCATTCAGAGTCCTGTAAACCAACGTGGGAGAACTACAATATCCTCGTGATCTTCAGTCTTCAGTACTGAATGTGGCGCTAATCCAAAGCGTTGACACTGGCCATATGTGAGTGTATTGTTCACAGAAATACTCTAACTCTCATCTTCAGCTATACTGTGGCCAAAGAAGTTATTTCTAATGAGACGAAAAATAACTGTAGTGTCAGTTGTGATAACAGCATCGCTTAGATGTCACTTAGAAGTTGCAGTAGTCTCACAGAATCTTCTGCTTTTTTCTGAAACTCTGCTCAGACGACAAATTATGGATGAGTGCCGAAAAATTAAAGCTTGTGGTCACTCCTGATAAAGTAGTACTGCTAAGTGTCAGCACAAATAGCAAAGATAAATCAAGAACGAATTCCAAGATACTCTAACCAACCTATTGAATAAACCAATTTACAATATTATACCGACCGTAATATCTTCAGTTGGTCATCGGTGATTCGCGTTCGAGCACGTTTTGCAGGCGATGATGAGAGTTGTTGCATCTTAATTTTTAATAAATTCTGAAGGTAAAAACAACTTTAAAATAGTTTTTTGACCATCTGCTAATTAAGCAAACTATTACGCAACTATACAAAATGCCTGGATCGATCGAATGTCGTGAGCATAAGGGGATCCCGGGAACCTTTCTTTTCCGAGAGATATTATTTTGGGTTTGAAACGAATCTCTAATTGGATTTATAAGACAAGTAACAGAATGAAACTTCTATCATGAATAAAGTCAAATGAACTAAAGCAAAGCAAATGGTAATAGAATGAGCTAAATAATTGCTGACTGTGAAGAGAGAGAAGCAAAGGATAACGATAGCGATACAGTCACATAGTTATCGAAGAGGTAACAGCTCCGCTTAAAATAATAAGACTCAAATAGGAAAAAAACGCTTATAAGATACCAAAAAAAGCCAAAATAGGACATAAAAATAAACCTGTTGGGCAACGAGTGGATTAAAAAACTCTCCCATCCCTGGAACGAATCCACTGAGTGGATTTGGTGGCAGAAATGGAAAATTACCCATCATACTCAGCATAGCCATTTGTGCTAAATCAGGTTTCGAGTTATCTGAAAACCGAAAAACGAAGAATAAAAATAGATTGGTAGAAAAAACCCAAAAAAATCAATATCAGTTTTAGAAACACTTTAAGGTGTCGATAATCATAGGGCACGTGATAAATCTACAGTGAATGAATTCTTCGTTTTTTTTCTCATTCATTTTTCCCACTTTTAGCCTGATTTTCATAGGTGTTAAAAAGACACCGAATTCATCAGCACAGTTTTGTCATTTCTATTTCATCACGTTAACTCACAACTCTATAATCACACTAACAATTTCTTCCTAATATTAAACTATTCAAAAGATCTTCCTAGCAGATTTTGCTTAGCCATCATTTTTCGTACTGTTTGCAGATGAAATTATCGCTTATGAATGTTAGTCTCTACCAGTAACAGTGGCGTCGGATCGCGATCGCTTCTCAGGTGGTTCTCCGTCATCACGAACAGTGCGACTTGCTGCCGGTGACAGATGATGACCGTTCGTTTGTGACGATGCCGATTCGGGAATCGCTTCACAAAGACGCTCGCAAAACGATCGAACGACAGAATCGGGAATCGTAGTGGAGTGGGCAAGGTCGTAATGTGTCGACAGAGCCTGAAGATGCAACATCTGTTCCATTTATGAAAACAAAGAATCAAATCAAATCATGAACTGGCTTGTCAGTGGTCTAAAAAGATAATTAGTTGTGATAAAGTAGATTTAGGGAAACCCGGGTCTAGCGGCAAGACTAAAATACTCTGCCTCGAACGCAAGCAGAGGAAAAGGAGTTTCTTGTCGGTCCTATTAACGATTTCTATTCAGGATTTATGACTGAAAAAGTGGTCATTAAAGAAATTCCTCCATCAAAGACTAATATCGCTCCACTAACCAGCAACGACGGAAGTCTCTCCGAGCATTGAGTACAATCTACAGCTGCAATAGTTTCTACTTGAGTGTCAGTGAGCTCAGCTATTCGCGATAGTCTCGTTCCGGCCGCAGGCGACGCATCCATCAGCTTCTTCTCGCCGAAGGCTTTAATCATTGCGATTAACGCCGACGCACTCCTCGGCGTTATGATCTTATCATCGGCTTCTGGAGTTGTAACTGCAACACAACACGCGGTTTTTGTGGTTTACATTTACATATTCAATCAACAGATGTACCTTCACTTGATGTATGTTGCTGTGAAGTGAAGGCAGGCAGTTGAATGTTTGCATTTTGATTCATTAACATATTCATAATGTTGAACACAGTCATCACATTTTGTTGTTGAGTGTTTGATGGCTAAAATTTACAATAGGTAAGTTCGTTCAGTAAACGTACTAGTAATAGCACTAGAACTCTCTTCGTTTAAAGCAAATAACGATATTCAAGACGCTGACAAAGTATTCTTCAGTTATTCGGAACCTCTACACTGGACCTAAAGTGTTGGATGGCGTGGGACCTCTGTGTTACCGAACTACTCTACATCCATTAGGATTAGTGCGCTTCTAGTATTAAGCAATTAAAACACATTTAATAAGAATGAGTCATTGTTCTGCTTTTCGAAGGGCCTACAATAAACAAATGGCCACAGGGCAACCAAATCCACCATCGACCCAAAATCGGCGAATTGGTACCATGTTCCTCTTGGAGGATAAGAAATACTGATTTGATATATCGATAGGCACTCATTAGTAATTATGTAGACCAACTATATATTGAATCAAATCTACGATGCCACATGAAGTCGAATGTATTACGCACTTCATAGGGGGTTTGATCAACGCCGAACGATTTATGCTTCACCCCTTTTATTCCTGACTAATCAAGGCAACAGTTCATAGAGTTCAATTCAAACTTTTTTCAAAAAGTATATCTGTCTATCTCCTAGACCTATTCTTCTGCTTTCGATTCACTACGACAGATTCAGAATGCTTCAGCATAGTGAAATTTATGGAAAACCGAGGAACATCAGCCTGGCTTCAGTGGAGCGGTGAAGCTATGATAAGTATTGGTTTTGTGATAGTTCTTCCAACACCGCTCTCTTCGTCGAACAGCATTGCTGGGCGACTACTGCTGATCCTGTACTAATTCGAAAGACCGACTTTCACTTAACCGCGCATGAATTCACTAAAACCTTACGAACTGTCTTTGTTTAACTTCCACGTCCGACTTTCTATTGTCTTTTTTTGTCGTTCTTGTCTTTTTCTATTATCTTTCTATTGTCCTGTCTGTCTTGTCTTCTTTGTCTTTTTTTTATTGTCTGTCTTGTTTTTTGTCTTTTCTATTGTTTTCGTTTAATCTAAAGAGTTAAACGGCTCTGAAGAAGGCGAAATCGGTGAAACATCAGTCATCGTATTTAAAAAAGATGGGATTGTAACCTAGCGCTAGCTTAAACAAGGACAGTTTGTAAGATACTACTGACATCGCTTTGGACCTAAAAAGGTCAGCATTGCTCCAACCGTACCCCTAGGGATTATGCTAGAGCTGAATCCTGATATCGATTAGTGGTCGGTGGTTTGTCCCGCTTCTTGTTTGTATTTGTTCGTTCGGTACAACAACGTCACATCGTAGTCGTGTGACATGACAATGTATTGCATGTATGTATGCCCGGTCGTCGGCGGAGCGTTGGCGCTGTTAGAGCCGTAATTATGAACGACCTTCAAACTTGCCTTTAATTGATTTGTTTGAACAATGATCGTCGACGCTATTGTCAGCAGAGCAGTCATCGTGGTGTTGGTGGCCAGTGTTTGCCTCGCCGTAACGATCGCAGCCAGAATCGCAATGAATGAACACTCACACTCACCCTCACACTCATTCACAAAGACACCAATATCAGCAAACTACAGTAACACCGTGTTCTAGAAGAAGCGAACCATCGTGTGACCTACTGCCATATGGTGTTGTTATGGTGCCTTATCTAACTACCTATCTGACGTTTCAATGACGAATTCTATGACAAATTGTGCAAGTGCCACTGATTTACTTGATAGTAATGGTTTTTTTTTCTCTATAATCCTGAGAAACCCTCACTAGAGTGTCCTCAAGCTAGCAACATAGAGTTGCTGGTCCAAACGGATCGGAAGAAGCCTTTCTACCATTCGACAAGCTTTGCTATAGCGCTTCATGGAAAAATTGCAACACAGATTAACTTCCAGCCCAGCTAAGTTATACATTATGCACCTGTATCCAAAAATTATTATATAGCATACATTGTGACCCCAGCGACAAGTATGAAAAGTTTGGCTGCCTTCATGTTCTTTTAAAAAGCAGGAACCAATCGACAGTTCCTACGCATTAAAAGAGCTGAAGGAAATTCTTTCCTGGCACGTGAATGATTAAGTCAATTAATGATTGAAAGAAGTACAGATGATACAACTACGATTAGATGCTTTCTTCGATGCACTAAGGTTTTTCATGCTCTACAGCAATTAATTAAACGACACAACTAGATCCTGTTGTAAATGGATATTGAAGTGGGTTACGTTCTTGTCGAACAACACATTTCACAGATCTTCACTGGTGTAAGCAACTAGATGTTGGAACTGTGGAACAGTATGGGAAGGGGGAAAAGGACACATATGTAGAGAATCTATTGCATGTACTTATAAAAACACCACTACGACTGGCTTCTTATGAGGGATTGGATGTTTTTCGAACCACTTACCTCCCATTATTCAATGCTTAAATCAAATATTCTTTAAAACAAGGCTCGTGCTACCTTAGCGGTGCGGTAGGATTGCCTAGTTAGCAGAACTGCAGTTAACTCAACAACCTTCCCTTGCTGAGTTTGTTCGTCCCCAGCAATGAGTAGACAGGACGGACGGGAGGGACGCTTATGGGTGAGGTTAGGATGATTTGTCGCCCCGAATTCGCGGTCGTGCATTTACATGAGAATCAACAATACGTGCTCATGGTGCCAGCCGTTCCGATCGCACAATAATGCCCTTCTATGAGATCGGCTTAAGAACTTGAGCCATCAAGTACGGACTGAACACACATATGGAAGTGACCAATGACGACATATTACGGTAATAATGTTCGGCGCTTACTCGACACCTGACACCATTTTAGGTTCTGTGTAAAAACAATCAATAACGCATGATATGCATTGTTTTCAGTGCATTATGTAATGGGGCTTTCAAGTTTAAACCGAAATATTTCGTCAACTCATAATAAAGTTTCTCAATTGAAATACAAACTACTGAGCTAACTTGCGGATATTTATTAATAGAATGAAAGTTCTCCTACTCTACTACAGGGTCGAATTTTCTGGAATCGACTAAGCATAGTTCTTCATTTTTCTAAATCAAAGCTCGCATTTCAGGTGCGAAAGTGCTTGAACATGCGGGATTCCGTTCAGTAACATCAGAAAGCCACTTCCGGATGTTGTGTGTTAAGGCGCTACTTAGTATTTTATGTGAAGGAAACACAGCAAGTTCAAACTGCCGTGAGGAGAATCTAGGCCTATATTTCCATTTTCCATTTGCTTCGACAGGGCTCTTTCGGAATTCTTATGGAGCAATACGGCCCTAATCCGTTACAATGGAATGATATACTTCAGGTTCGGGTATTGTTTATGCCATGCGATTTCAAAAATATAAGACCCGAGACATTCGCCGGCATATCTTGAGTTTTATGTTCTATCGATTCCCTAAAATACTTGCAAATAAGTTAGGTTTATACCTCGTCGTCACGGCTAAGCAGCTCACGAATGATCTTCTGCGGTGGGCCACCGGGTTGTTCCAGTACCGGCTTTGATGGATTCACTTCACCGGCACTAACCAACTCAGCAATTTTGCTCATTCGCGATTGATGCGCCACTGATCTGACATAGAAGAAACTTAGTTTTAGGTGTGGATGTTAAGCATTGTCATCTATAAGGTAAAAATCACGAAAATTAACAAGTCCTATCATAACAGAAACACTTGAAGCAGAAGTTACTAGTAAGCTTAGAAGATTCTCTTTCGCTTTGAGAGACTTTCAGCATCCTCTCAAGGTGACCCCTACTAAAAATGAAATTTAAAACCTAAAATTTAAGCTTAAAAATGTATTTAAAATAATAAAATAATGTAAAACTAAATCCACATCCAGTCGAGCTACTGATATTTGCTGGGAATTTTGCACGTTAACGGCTGTATTTTATATAACATAATATAAAACAGCAATAACACAGAACCCATCTAGCGAGTACATAATAGGATGCAATAGCAGTAATGGTAATAATAACAGTAATATAATAAAGAAGCAGTGAATGGTGTTTGTTCACTGACAGTCGCAGCTTCAATTCTTATCTACTTGAAGTAAGGCTGTTATTATTAATTCATAACGCTGAAATGAAGATGGTAGGAAAAAGTGGCCGAATGTTTCTACTGGAACTCTAGCGAGTAGACGACTAGCGACTGTGACTGTTTCTCCCATGCGTCCCGTAATTAGCATTTGAAACCTTTGAAATTGTTAGCAGACGTCGACCTTGAAAACTCGTTCAGGTGATCAAAATCTTCATTTGTTTTCACTTGGTAGAATAACAAATATGACTTTCCATGTAGAAAATCTCTTCGACTTTAGTTGAGCAATAATGACTGCATCGAAACCCAGTAATAACCAGAAAACCCATTCATTCAATTATCTAGTAATTATGTGTATTGTTATAATCT